TTATAACACACACACACACACACACACACACACACACACACACACACACACACACACACTAAGAACATACCTAACCAAAGAGGTGAAAGATCTCTATAAGGAGAACTATAAAACTCTGATGAAAGAAATTGTAGGGGACACAAATAAATGGAAGACATCCCATGCTCATGGATCAGAAGAATCGGTATCATTAAAATGACCATACAGCCCAAAGCAATCTACAGATTCAACCCAATCTCATAAAAAAAAAAAAATCAGCACAATTTTTCACAGAACTAGAAAAAACAATCTTAAAGTTAATAAGGAGCCAAAAAAGAGCCTAAATAGCCAAAGCAACCCTAAGTAAAAAGAACAAACACAAAGGCATCACACTGCCTGACTTCAAATAATACGCGGCTACGGTAACTAAAACAGCATGGTACTGGTACAAACACAAATAGATCAATGGAACAGAATAGAGAACACAGAAATAAAGCCACATACCTACAACCGACTGATCTTTGAGAAAGGTGACAAAAATAAACAATGGGAAAAGTACACCCTGTTCAATAAATGGTACTGGGAAAACTGGCTAGCCAGCAGAAGAATGAAACTGCACCTCTGTCTATCACCATATACAAAAATTAACTCAAGATAGATTAAATACTTAAATGTAAGATCTGAAACTATAAGTATCCTAGAAGAAAACCTAACCTAGGAAACACTCTTCTGGACATCAGCCTATGTAAAGAATTTATGACAAAGACCCCAAGAGCAATCGCAACAGTAACAAAAATAGACAAATGGGAAATAAACTAAAAAGCTTCTGCACAGCAAAATAAATAATCAACAGAGTGAACAGAAAACCTATGAAATGGGAGAACATATTTGCAAATTATGCCTCAGACAAAGGGTTAATATCAAGAATCTATAAGGGAACTCGAACAATTTAACATGAATAAAACCAAACAATCCCATCAAAAAGTGGGCAAAGGACATGAATAGACACTTCTCAAAAGAAGACACACAAGCAGCTAACAAACATGAAAAAATGCTCAACATCATTAATCATCAGAGAAACAAATTAAAACCACAATGAGGTATCACCTTATACCAGTCAGAATGACAATTATTAAAAAGCCAGAGAACAACAGATGTAAGCACAGTTGCAGAGAAAAGGAACACTCATATATTATTGGCAGGATTGTAAACTAGTTCAAACTTTATGGAATACAGTTATTAAGGTTGGAGATGGTGGCTCAAATCTGTAATCCCAGTACTTTGGGAGGCCAGGGGTGGGAGGATCGCTTGCGCTCAGGAGTTCAAGATCAAGCTAGGCAAAATAGTGAGACCTTGTCTCCACAAAAAACTAGTTGGGCATGATGGTGTGTGTCTGTAGTCCTAGGTACCTGTGAGGCTGAGGTGGAATCATTGCCTGAGCCCAGGAGGCCGAGGCTGCCAGGAGCCATGATCATGCCACTGCACTCCAGCCTGGGCAACAAAATGAGATCCTAACTCAAAAATAAAATAAACAACAGTATGGCGAGTTCTCAAAGAAATAAAAATTGAATTACCATAAGATCTAGCAATTTCACTATTAGGGATCTACCCAAAGGACAGTAAATAATTATATAAAAAAGATACCTATACTCAAATGTTCATTGCAGCATTATTCACTATAGCAAAATCACGAAACTAACCTAAGTGTCCACCAGTAGCTGACATTCTTATAAATGAGCAAAGAAAACGTGATATATATACACCATGGAATACTACACAGCCATAAAAAAGAACAAAATCATGTCATCCTAAGTGAACTAACTCAAAAACAGAAAATCAAACACTGCATATTCCTGCGAGAGTCAAAAGGCTGCAAAGATGAAAATAATAGACACTGAGGGTTCAAAAAACACCTATTGGGTACAATGTTCACTATCTGAGGAATGGGCCACCTGAGACTCAATACCCCCACTACACAATATGCCCATGTAACAAACATGGCTTCAAAAGACTTGGCCTGGCTTCTTACCTTATTCTTGAAACACTTTTTCTTTGGTTCACATCATGTAACCTCTCCTAGCTGTCCTTCTACTTCTCACGTTGCCTCTTTCCTTTTCCCCTGCTTCACCTTCCTCAATACATGCTGCTTTTCCTCCTGCCACAGAGACTTTACAAGTATCTTCTCTCATTCTGAAATACACTTCCTTTTGACGCCTTGCCTAACTCCTAGCTCATATTCAGGTATCAGTTTAATCAGTACTTCCTCAGGAAAGTCATACTTGACTATGGCAAATTCCTCCCTAGCTAAGTCAGTCCTTCTGTCATACTGTTTCATAGCACATTCCTACAGCGCAATTAACACAGTTGCAGTTCGTCCAAAAAACCCCACACAAGATGTTAATGTTGATTTCCATTCACCAGCTGCATCATGAGTGTAGAGACTGTGTGGTTTTATTAATTATAGCATCTACAGTGCCTACAACAGTACCTAACAGGTATCAATAGATTGACACTCATATATCAATATATTGAATATATGAACTAAACTCTTTATCAAATATTTGAATACATTTATTCTTTTTCAATTAAAAGAGTCTTGTCTAAATATCTATTTGTTCGGCCAGGTGTGGTGGCCCAGCCTGAAATCACAGTACTTTGGGGGGGCCGAAGTGAGAGGAATGCCTGATCTCAGGGGTTTGAGACCAGCCTGGGCAACTTGGTGAGATCTCATCTCTACAATAAATCACAAAAACTAGCTGGGTGTGTGTGTGCGCCTCTGTAGTTCCAGCTACTTGGATGGCCCGGGCGGAAGGATCACCTAAGTGACACTCCAGGCTGGGCGACAAAGAGTGAGATTCCAACTCAAAAACAACAACAACAAAAAACCCCAATTATCTATTTGTTCAAATAAATAATGATTGAGTACCTAGGCACTAGCCAAGAAATTAGAATAAAGTAGTGACAAACCCAGATATGTTCACCACTCTTATGGAGCATATTGTCTAAAGAAAGAGCTATTAATTAATCATAGGTATAAGTTTATTGTTATGGCTTTATTTATGTGGTATAACAGAAAATTCAGAGTGACAGGGGCATCTAATTTATACTGCTGGGGATGTGTTTTACCTCCATCTCTTGAGAACTGTGTGTATCTTCTTTCATGTTGGATGGGTTTTCATGGTCTTTGTATATTTTCCCTGGTTACTCATCTTTGTATAAGGATATTATGGCCAGGTATTAGTCTCAAAATACCTGAGCAAGAGCAAGAGTCTTCTTGAATTCCTCATAAGTTTATCAATGAACAGGATAGCTGATGGATATACATTTAAAATACCACTTCATGTCCACTTTTTAATAGGGCTGCTTTTGTTTTTTCCTTTCGGCATGTTTTAGTTTCTTGTAGATCCTGGATGTTAGGCCTTTGTCAGATACATAGTTGGCAAATATATGTTCCCATTCTATGGGCTGTCTCCACAGTCCTGATGGTTTCTTTGGCTTTGCAGAAGTTTTTCAGTTTGATGAGGCCCCACTTGTCTATCTTATCTCTTATGGCATGGGCTTTCAGGGTTTTGATCAGAAATTGGTTGCCTATTCCAAAAGTCTATAAGGGTGTCTCCTGCATTTTCTAAGATTCTTATAATTTCAGATTTTACATTTAGGTCTTTGATCCATTTAAAATTGATTTTTGTATATGGTGATAAGTAGGGGTCCTGTTTCATTCTTCTGCATGTGGCCAGCAGTTTTCCTAGCATCATTTACTGAATAAGATCTCCTCTTCCCAGTGGTTGCTGGTGGAGGCTTTGTCAAAGATGAGTTACTTGAGAAATTGAGATTTTGTTTCCAGAATCTATCTTGTTCCACTGTTCTATATGCCTGTTTTGATTACTATAGCCTTAGTTTAAAGTCTGAAAGTATGATATCTTCCACTTGGTTTCTTTTGCTGAGGATTGTTTTGGCTATTTCTGGTCGTTTTTGTTTCCAAATGAATTTCTGTATTGTCGTTTCCAGCTCTGAGAAGAATGATATTGGTAATTTAATAGGTATTGCGTTGAATTGGTAGACTGCCTTGGGTAGGATGGACATCTTAACAATGTTGATTCTTCCAATCCATGAGCATGGAATATTTTTCCATTTGATATTCTTTGAGCAGTGTTTTGTAGTTTTCATTGTAAAGGTCTTTCAATTCTCTGGTTAGGAAGATGACAAGGCATTTCATTTGTCTTGTGGTTATTGTGAAAGGGATTGTGCTTTTTATTTGGTTCTCTGCCTGTTTGTTGTTGGTATATAAAAATGTGACATTGATTTGGTACCCTCAGACTTTTCCAAAGTGCTTTATCAGCGCAAGGAGGTTTTTGACAGATTCCCTTGGGTTTTCAGTATAGGATCATATCATTAGCAAAGAGGGATAGTTTAACTTCTTTTCCTATTTGGATACCCCTGATTTCCTTCTCTTGTCTGATTGCACTAGCTAGGACTTCCAACACTATGTTGAACAGGAGGAGTGAGAGTGAGCAGTCTTGTCTTGTTCCAGTTTTCAGAGGGAAATGCTTCCAATTTCTGTCCATTTAGCGATATGTTGGCTGTGGATTTATCAAAGATGGCTCTTACTATTTTGAGGTATATTCCCTCTGTACCTAGGTGTTCAAGGATTTCTATCAAGAATGGATGCTAGATGTTGCCAAAAACCTTTTCTGCATCTAAAGACACCTTTCAAAAGAAGACATATGAGCAGCCAACAGATACATGAAAAAATGTTCAATCTCACTAATCATCAAAGAAAAGCAAATCAAAACCACACTGAGATACCACCTAACTCCAGTCAGGATGGCCATAACTAATAACTCAAAAAACAACAGGTGCTGAAGAGGATATGGAGAAAAGGGAACACTTCTACACAGGTGGTGGGAGTGTAAATTAGTACAACTTCCATGGAAAACAGTGTGGCGATTTTGAAAAGATCTAAAAATTGGCCTTCCATACAACCCAGCAACTCCCCTACTTGGAATATATCCAGAGAAAATAAAATCATTCTACAAAAAAGATACCTGGGCATACATGTTTATTGCAGCACTAGTCACAATAGCAAAAACATGGAACCAACTGCTCTGCCTATGAAAAGTTGACTGGATAAAAAAAAGTGATACACATACATGACAGAATATTATGCAGCCATAAAGAAGGACAAAATTCTGGACTTCGCAGCAACTTGGATAGATTAAAAGTCAATTATACTTAGTGACCTATCACAGAAACAAAGAACTGAGTACCACATGGTTCTCACTCATAAGTGGACCCAGAACATTTACCATAATACTTCAAGAAAGGGACTGGCAGTAGTGGGACACTGCCAGGGGAGATGGGGGGAGAGGGGCACATATCATCAATAATCCTAAACCAGGCAAAGTGAGAACCAATGGGAGGCAAAACTTCACCTGTACGTTGACCACTTATGTACCTAATCCTGAGCTGTACCCTACATCTTTAAAATACAATAATAATAATTATTAAAAAATAATAAAATAAAATACCATTTCATGTGCCACTGCCAGTCACTATTATTCTGTTTTGGTTTTGCGAATTCTAGCGTTTAGATGGCAAACAGAAGTACTGTTAGGGTGGATTCATAATACAAAAAGCTCTGATGACCTTGAAAACCAGCCTTCCAAGGAGGACCAAATTCTCAGTTTGGATGATACAGACCTTGCATTTCCAAATCCAGGGGCATATGGAGCTTGCATGGCGGGGAGTAAGGGGAATGGATAAGGGAAAAGGATGAGGAACAAAAGAGGGATATTTTTTGTATTTTTATTACTTACATGCGGTCAAGAAACTCATTACTAAAAAGCTCTCAGAATTCATTATTAAAAAGCTCTCAAATTTAAGCAAAATATTAAGTGATATTCTTTAACACTTGACTGTGTCATTTCATTTTGTCTGTACTTCATGAATTATTTAGTGACAAACCGGGCAATGCTGTAACTGCTGCTAACCAGATGTTATTTTAAACTAGAAGTTATTACTCTCTCTAGAATTTAGGATAAAGATGTAGTTAGTATTCAGACTAACTAACTACTATGTTAAGTAGAAAATAAGTTAGAGGCTGAGTGTATTAAAATAGATTCTATTTATGATAATAAATACTTTTTAAGACACTCACTGGTCTGAAATTCCTTGTACTTCTTTTGTCCAGTTAGATTGTTCTTTATCTCCAAGATGGACCACTTTTGATGGTGGAGCAGTTCTTCCCAAATAAAGCTTCTGTGTTCCTGGAGGTTCTTCCAAGTAAAATCTTAAAAGTTAAAATAAAATAAAATAAAAATTATATAACCAAAAAGTGTGATTTAATACAGAATTCTAGCAGTGTGAGTCTTCACAGTGAAAACTTTTTAACATAATATAATAGTAAAAAACACAACTATAATATAAATAGTAGAATAAGGGCTTATAAGAATTTTCAGTCCAAATTTTAAAGCATGGGAGGTATAGAGGTAGACGAAGAGAAATTGGTTAGTGGGTACAAATAGATAGAAGAATAAGTTCTAGTGTTCAATAGCACAGTAAGGTGACTATAGCTAACAATTAATTGTATATTTTAAAATAGCTAGAAGAGAATATCTAAAAGGTTCCCAACACAAAGAAATGATAAATATTTGCGGCAATGGATATCCTAATTACTATAATTTGATAACACATTATATGTATATATCAAAATATCATATATCAAATATCATATGTGCCCCATTAATATGTACATTATGTAGCCACAAAAAAATAAAAGCAAGTTATTTTTTCTTTAAGAAACAAAAATAAGTATATAATAAAAATCTTTAGAGAGTTAAAAAAAACCTCTCAAATTCAATATGAAATATGTAATATTACCTATAAAGTGCTTTTGCCAAAAAAGTTTAATCTGCATCTAATCAAGTCGCTAACCCTAACTCCTAGTTTACAGACGATATGTAGGATGAAGGATCAAGTTAAATGACACTAAGAGGAAACAATAAGAAAATTCAAAATTTTACAAAATAACTGTAACTGGTCTTGTCACCCAAAAAAAAAAAAAAAAAGGCAAGGAAGCAAGTTACAGAAAGATCCTGTAAATCAAAATACACAAACCACCTGTATTTGTATTTCTATATACTAGCTGGGGAAATAAATGTAAACCTTAATAACCATTCCAGCCTGGGCAACATCATGAGACCTCGTCGCTACAATAAATTAAAAAAAATTAGCTGGGCATGGTGGCCCACGCTTGTAGTCCCAGCTACTTGGAAGGCTGAGTAGAAGGTTCTTCTGAGCCCAGGAGGTCAAGGCTGTGGTGGCCATGATCATGCCACTGCACTACAGCTGGGGCAACAGAATAAGACTCCAACTCAAAAAACAAACAAACAAAAAAATTACAAATAACACCATTTATAATTGCTCCAAGAAAAATTACATACTTAGGTATAAAACTAGCAAAACATGTATATAATCATTATGATGAAACAAACAAAATACTGATGAAAGATCAACATAAATGGAGAGGTATGTACTATGTTCATGAATTAGAAGATTTAACATAGTAAAGATGTCAAATATCCCCAAACTGATCTATAGGTTTAATACAATTCCTGTCAAAATCCCTCTATGATTTTTTGTAGATATAGAAAAATTCTAAAATTTACATGGAAATACAAAAGGCCTAGAATAGCTAAAACAATTTCAAAAAAAGAAAGATAAGTTTGAAAGAATCACTCTACCTGATAGTAAGACTTTCTACATACTTCATAGTAATCAAGACAATGTGGCACTGGCATAAAAATAGACATACCAATCAATGGAACAGAATAGAGAACCTAGAAATAGACCCGTACAGATAAGCCCAACTAACTTTTGCCAAAGGTGCAAAAGCAAACCAATGGAGGAAGGATAGTCTTTTTAACAAATAATGCCAGAGCAACTGACTATTCATAGGCAAATACATGAATCTTAATCTAAGCCTCATATCTTTTTTTTTTTTTTTTTTTGAGTTGGAGTCTCACTCTGTCGCCCAGACTGGAGTGCAGTGGCCGCTTCTGGCCACTGCAGTCTCAACCTGCTGGGCTCCGGCGATCCTTCCGCCTCAGCCTTCCAAGTAGCTGGAACTACAGGCGCGCGCTATCATGCCCGGCTAATTTTTTGATTTATTGTAGAGATGAGGTCTCGCTGCCCAGGCAGGTCTTGAACCCGCGGGCTCAGGCAATCCACTCACCTCAGCCTCCCAAAGGCGCAGGATTACAGGCTAAGCCACTGAGCCTGGCTAAGCCTCATATCTTAAACAAAAATTAATTCAAAATAGATTATTGATTTAATGTAAAATGAGGTAAAAATCTTTCAAAGTAAATATAAAAGAAAATCTTCAGGATCTAGGGCTAGGTGATGATTTCTTAGACATGATATCAAAAGCATAAAGAAAAAACTGATAAATTGAACTTCACCAAAAAGATGGAGCATTGAATTTTGATAATTAAAAAGAATCCTTAAGTTTCATACAGAAAAGTAGATACCAACAAAGGAAAGAACCATACTGGCCCTGTCTTCTCATAATGACATTATATAACATATATATGAGTCTAAGCAGTATAATCATATATTCTCAAATATGACATTATATAACAGAACACAACTGAGAGATGTATACAGAGATCTAAGGGAAAAGGAAAAGAAACTGGGCCTCCAAAGTATTAAACCTGTGTGTGAAGAAAATAAACAAAAAAATATATTTTGGATATGTAATAACTCAGAAAACATAATATACATCCATTTTTTTCTGAAAAAAATTTACAAACTTCTAGCTATATACAAAATAACAACAACAACAAAAAGAAATCAGGAAGACAAGGTTTATACAAATGGTTAAAAAAAAGACAAAAATAACTTATCTAAATATTCACTAATAAAAATGTGAACTTGAACACAATACTAAGAATAAATTCTTAAAACAGAAGATAAAGCCAGGCATGGTGGCTCAAGCCTGCAATCACAGCACTTTGGGAGGCGGAGGTGAGAGGAATGCCTGAGCTCAGAGGTTCAAGACTAGCCTGAGCACATGGCGAAACCTCGTCTCTACAATAAATAAAAAAAAAATAGCTGGGCATGGTGGCACATGCCTGTGGTTCCAGCCACTTGGAAGATTGAAGCAGAAGGATCATCTGAGCCCAGCAGGTCAAGGCTGTGGTGGCTGTGAGCGTGCCATTGTACTCCAGCCTGGGCGACAGAGTAAGACTGACTCAAAACAAACAAACAAAACCAGAAGACATGTGCTTTAAAAACTTAATGTATTATTTAAATAAAACCTAGGACAGATATAGTAAAGGTAAGACTACATATGCTGTTAATTCTTGTCAGAAAGAGAAATATATTTGCTAAATAATAAAATGGTAACCAATGCTAGAAAAGAATTAGGATAAAGAACTTCCAGGTCATTTAAAGAGAAAAAATAACATATGCATCTAAAATATAAGAGATATACAATAAACTGTCAATAGTGGTTGAACCTTGAATGGTGTCATAAGTGGACTTTCATTTTCACTATAGAGTGTAAATGTTCTTTTTTTTTTTTTTGAGTTGGAGTCTCACTCGGTCGCCCAGACTGGAGTGCGGCCATCGCAGTCTTGCCTGCTGGGTCCCAGCGATCCTTCTGCCTCAGCCTTCCGAGTAGCCGGAATTACAGGCATGCGCTACCATGCCCGGCTGATTTTTTAATTTTTATTGTAGCGATGAGATCTCGCTGCCCAGGCGGGTCTCGAACCCGCAGGCTCAGGCAATCCACTCACCTCAGCCTCCCAAAGGCGTGGGATTACAGACTGAGCCACCAAGCCTGGCTTAGAGTGTAAATGTTCTTAACGTAATTTTATCAGTTAAAAAAAATGAACCAATAAAAGCCATCAGGAACAAAGTAAATAAAAGTTAGAAAAATTATAAATCAAATCTTACTTACTTAGTTTCTCCATCTGATACAGCTACAACTCTAGCTTCCTCAAGGTGAGGCCAATTAACAAAGACAGACTTTCCAAGCACTGATGAAGCTATGTTTTCTATACTCTTAAAGTAAAAGCAGAAAAGTTCATTCATGTTTTAGATCCAAGAGACAACTTTACATAGGCAACAAAAATTTCCCAACTGCTTTACAAAATACCATTCAGTTGTAAAATTCTACGATTATATTAATTAGACATAATTATTTTTATTTTTCTCATGATTGAGAAAGTGAAAAGAATAGTAGAAATATCTGGAAAACAATCTATTCATTGTTTCATATCAAATAGTCAGATATTTAAAACAGAATCTAAGAGAAATGATTTCATTTCAGTGTGGCAGGTATGATGAAAAAAGAATAGAATAAGAGTCAGGAGATATGGGCCCAAATTTGGGGTCTACCACTTTTCAGCTATAGGATTCGAGGCATATAATTTAATCCCAGTGAGTATCAATTTTGTTTTATGAGAAGAAAAAGTAAAATATACCTCACAACAGAGGATAAAAAATACATAGTCGGTGGGGGTGGGACTGGCAGTTGAGGGAACCTGCTAGGGGAGGGAGGGGCATACCTCATCAACAAGAATACCTGCATGATCAATGTCTGTATACCTAACCCTAAATTGTACCCCACATCTTTGTAATAAATAAATAAATTTAAATATATATATATACACAAACACACACATCTGTAAACTGTAAAACGCTGTACAAATATTCTGTGTGAAATAATATCTTAAGTAAAAATTCTAGTTTTAAAAGGAAACTATTATCCAATTCAACTTAAACATATAGGTCAGACAACAATAACTTTGCAGTAGAAACTCAAGTTTAAATACAAACCTTCATTCATCTTTTTTCTGTTTACTATCCTTAATCATTATTAACACCTTTTTTAAACAATTAGAGGTGACTATTTTTTACTTTTTTTTTTTTTTTGAGTTGGAGTCTCACTCTGTCGCCCAGACTGGAGTGCAGTGGCCGCTCCTGGCCGTCGCAGCCTCGACCTGCTCGGCTCCGGCAATCCTTCCGCCTCAGCCTTCCAAGTAGCTGGAACTAGGTGCATGCTACCACGCCCAGCTAATTTTTTTTTTTGGTTTATTGTAGAGATGAGGTCTTACCAAGTTGCCCAGGCAGGTCTCGAACCCACGGGCTCAGGCAGTCCACCCACCTCAGCCTCCCAAGGTACAAGATTACAAGGCTGAGCTACTGAGCCTGGCTTATTTTTTACTGTTTTAGGGTAACTTTTTATTTTGATATTTAGACATTTCTTAATCGGAACATATAAAACAAAAGAATAACTATTCTGATGAATAAAACAAGTTACAACATTAAAATTAGTCTCCTTCGATTGTCATTTTCCCGTCTATATATCTACTTCTAATTTTATTCACTTTTTCCTTTAGTTTTTGAAGAAAAAGTTGTCTTCCTTCCCCAGATTAATCCTTTTATTTAAACACTAGATGAAATCCCTTACCAGCTCACATGGAGTCTTATTATAAACATCCTTTCCCTTTGTGGTAGCTACTTTCTCATTAGTTCTACCTTCCTTCTTTTGCAAGGAATTTGTTGAATAGGCTACCTCCTCTCTTCCTACGTTCCTATGTTTCTAGACTCCTTTTCTTTTCTTTTTTTGAATTAGAGTCTCACTCTGTCACCCAGGCAGTACGGCAATGGCTCACTCCTGGCCACCACAGCCTCGACTTCCAAGTAGGTGGAACTACAGGGGCACGTTACCACACCCGGCTAATTTTTGCTTTATTGTAGAGACAAGGCCTTGCCAGGTTGCCCAGGCTGCTCTCAAGTCCGCGGGATCTGGTAATCCACTTGCCTCGGCCTCCCAAAGTTCTGGGATTACAGAGTCTCCTTTTCAATAATAAACTTCTTGACCAACGGCTAATAACTGCTATCTTTACTTCCTATCTACCTAGTCCTAGCCTAGTCTCTAGGAATTGGACTTCTCCCTCCACCAGTCTACTGGAATGGAATTCTCAAAGGTCAGCGTTGAAGCTCTAATGGACAAATCCATAGACTTTGTTTTAGTTTTTATTATCCTCTGAATTTGTGCAGCATAAAGCACCTGCCCCATGCTTCTGTGATATTACTTAAGTTGGGAATCATTCTTTTTTACCCCTCTATCCACTACATCACTTTGACTAGCTTTTTTTCCACCCTTTATAACTGTGGCTATTTCTTTACATGGATCATGAACACTTAGTGTACCTTTTCTTGAGGGAAACGGGCCTCAAGGTGGCCTCAGTCATTAACTCTCTGTTGACAACTTATATACCCCTATCTCCCTCTAAGCTCTAGCTCCAAGTGTTTAACTTGTATCTCAGTATCCCTTCTAAACTGGGGTTTTTCATCTGAACCAGAGAACACAAAAATGATGACTGTATTCTCAATTCTCCCAAGAATGGTTCATAACTAATACCCATTCTAGATACACAGAAGATAATTTATGAATGACATAGGGCATTTGGACTTAAATATCAAGAAAGGCTGACAAGGCAGCTCCAGTTACATGAACAAGTACCACCTTAAAATTCCATCATTATTTAGAAGTCATCCCCCCTAAGTCTGCAACTCCCCTATTTTAACTTTTCTAGTTCAGTAAACTTCAATTCTTTTCTTGTTAATTAGCTTGGATATCTCAAAGTCCTATTTACTGTTTTCTTTATCTTTTCATCTCTTGTATTTGAACAAATAATGAAACTTGTCAGGTTTACTTCATCTTGTTCATCTAGATCTATTGCCACTTTCACAGTTTATGTCCATATCACCTAATGCTACAACCTCTGAACTTGCAGGCTCTGCTCTTTTCTTCCATTTCTCTTTTGTACAACTGCCACCAAATTAATCTTTATGAAAATACCAATTTTAAGATAACAGTCATGGAAAAAAAAAAGTCCAAATTCCTTAGCCTAGTATTCAAAGTCTTCCATAATCTGGCCTCAATCTGTTTTTTCAGCCTTTTCCACTATTTCCCAACACAAGTCCTCTGCTTCAGTCAGGTTTATCTATTCCTTCTCTCAAATATATCACATTTATTCTAAAAACAGAAAAAGTATTAAGAAATTATTCAGACATACAAAAAGAATAAAAATAATATATCATATTTACTTCTAAAATTATATAAAATTATGCTAAAATGGTATTTCTTACAACTAGAATGCCTTTTTTCCTTGTTTTCTCTTTTGTCCTTTTTTTTTAGTACCTAGTTCTAACCTAATTTTGTCTATAATTCTGTACTTTAAACTTTAGTTCGCATAGCTCATCACCTTTTAAAAATTCTTAAAAAATTGTTTCATTCATTGTGTCACGATTATACAGGTTCTTGAACTGTCATCTAATTTGTGCAAATGTTTATTTGCTTTATTCTTATTTAGATTGTGAACTTCTGGAGTTACAACATGTTATATCTCTTTGGTAAACACTTCAGCAGCTACAAATAGTTTTATGTATAATAAGTATCTAACAGATGATAAATAAAATACTTACAAGGTCATCTGATTCTGCATTCACTGAGATTTCCAACATCATGTTTTCTCCACGACTGCTTTGCTGGAACACTTGAACACCACTTTTTTTCAAAAAGAACTTTAAAAGAGTTCAAATAATTTAATTTTAATTCTTTCTTTTTAACCATATTCAATAAAGTGAGAAAATTCTGAACTAAATAGCCACTGACTTTGTGTTTGATGTGTTTCAGAGTAGGAAATCCACAGAAATACAATGCCTTCTGGTCAACCCTGGTTATTTTGTTCTTATTTATGTCTACACGCCAAGCATCTAGGGATATGATTTTGTACCTAAAAAAGAAATAAAGGCATTAATTTAAAATATATACAATTATAGTTTTCAAACTTTCTCTTGAATATTTTGCAAGAGTTCTCCTTGCTTTCAAAGAAGAAGATGAGAATTAGTACTTTAAGACAAAGAAAACACAAAGCAGGACAACTCAGCTTCTCTGTTGTTACTGGTCCAGATACAACTATGCCTGTAGATTACTAAGTAGAGGTTTTATCCAATAAATTAAAACAAAACTATATATGTAATAAATTTTACAAAGATAAAGTATAAAGCATAACACAAATCTCTGTATCCTCCATGTTCCAAAACCCAGGATGGGAAATAAACACCTTATGTTTATCTTTCTTTTGTTTTAATGAAAGGAAAAATAAGTGAGAGATGTTCACTCTGCTTGCAACTCAATTGTTGTTGGGTAGATTTCTGAAAAGATGAGAAAATACAAAATAAGGAAGACACTTTAGTGAAGAAGAGAAAGAAAGGAGCAGACATTGACAACAAAAGCAAAAATTCACATATCTACTTGAAGAAGACAAAGGGTAGACATATACACTAGAGAGAAAAATTCAAACAACTTTAACAGAAGATGGAAATAGAGAAGTCGAATCTGACCAAAGTTGAGAACTGTAGTAATGAGTGGGAGAGCTGTTTAGACCCTTGGCAAGTTAGATGTAATTTATTCATTATCAATTGACTATACCTGTTATAAACTATTTTTTAATTCTCCAAACAGATGTTCAAAGTTTTTTTAAAAAAAGATGTTAGGGGGCTCTTTTGTTGTTGCCGTCAAAAAAATTACCAAATAACATTACCTCGTACAACATCGTTCTATAGAAGGGAACTTTTCTGGCCATGGAGAAGGATAGGCAAACTCTGTGTCTCTGTCATACCAGCACATTAGGCACTCACTATGTTGATTTCTTTTTCTCTCTTCCCTTTTGAGGGAATGATTACATGTCTCCATGGCTTCCAACAATCGCTTCTAAATATAAGAAATAAAGAGAAAGGATAAAAGCATAAAATTTATGCAATCTCAACATACAAAATAAATCTTTTCTCTCCATATAGTGATTCTTCAGTGTTTTTGTTCTTGAAAAACAAAATTTTAACTAATGAAATTTCCATTTTATTACATGAAAAAGTAATGTGCTATTGTTTCAAAGGGTCCTAAAATATTGCTGCCACTGCAAGTTCCTCTAAAGCTACTATCCTACCTCTAAAGTACAGAAAAGCAGCCAGGCTCAGTGGCTCAGCCTGTAATCCCATGCTTTGGGAGGCTGAGGTGAGTGGATTGCCTGAGCCCATGGGTTTGAGACCCACCCGGGCAACTTGACAAGACCTCATCTCTACAATAAAAAAAAAATTAGCCGGGCATGGTAGTGCACGCTTGTAGTTCCAGCTACTTGGAAGGCTGAGGGGGAAGGATCGATGGAGCCCAGCGGGTCAAGGCTGCGGTGGCCTGGAGCATGCCACTGCACTCCAGTCTGGGCGACAGAGTGAGACTCCAACTCAAAAAAACACAACCAAATAAATAAATAAAGTACAGAAAAGTATAGTAGTAAAAAAATCAAATTTTAAGTATGAATTTATCATAACCATACTATCTAATTAATAGAACAATAATCTCTTACTTTACAAATTCTGTGGTGGTATAACAATATTAATCTTTCTGAAATAACTTACACATTAACATAATTCCAGTCAGAATATTAACAGTTTAAAAAACATATAGGCCGGGCTCAGTGGCTCAGACTGTAATCCCAGCACTTTGGGAGGCCGAGGAGAGTGGACTGCCTGAGCTCACGCGTTTGAGAACAGCCTGGGCAACTTGGCGAGGCCTGTCTCGGCAATAAATCAAAAATTAGCCGGGCATGGTAGTGGGCGTCTGTAGTTCTGGCTACTTGGAAGGCTGAGGCAGAAGGATCGCTGGGGAGGCCGTGAGTGTGCCACTGCACTCCAGCCTGGGCAACAAAGTGAGACTCTAACTAAAAAAAAACAAATTGTATATTTTTTGATTCAGGGTCTCACTCTATTACCCTGGCTGGAGTACAGTGGCACAATTACAGAACAATGAAGCCTTGACCTCCTGTGACCCAGGTGATTCTCTTGCCTCAAACTCCTGAGAAGCTGGGACTACAGGACTGTGCCACCAAGCCTGGCTAATTTTTTTTTTTTTTTAAAAGAGATGAGGTCTTGCTATGTTGCATAGGCTGGTTTCAAGCAATACTCCCACCATGGCTTACAAGTACTGAGATTACAGGTATGAGCCACTGTATCTGGCCTAAAAATTTTTTTTAAATACTCCAAATTCAAATTTTTTTGAGCACTGACATGCCATAAATAGAAAATTTTATACCTCTAAAAATTCAATGCTATGTCTTTTCTTAAATTTCTGCAACCAACCTGGTTAATGTTCACAGTTCTTTTCAATTTTCCATTCACTGTGATAGATCTTGCTTGTTTCATTATCAACATTTGAATTTTTAAAGGTTTGGCATGATAAAGCACTGATCATGAAGCAGCAGAAAAATTTATTGGCAAATTTGCCAAGGATCACTGTTAATGAAATATAATGCCGAAACAAGTCTGAAATGCTGATGAAACATCACTGATTTGGTGTTATTGCTCTAGAAAGACACTGAATACAGTTGATGAGACAGCTCTACAAGAATTAAGAATGCAGCAGGACTCGGTGGCTCAGCCTGTAATCCTGCGCCTTTGGGAGGCTGAGGTAAGTGGATTGCCTGAGCCCGTGGGTTCGGAACCCGCCTGGGCAACTTGGCGAGACCTCATCTCTACAATAAATCAAAAATTAGCCGGGTGTGGTAGTGCGCGCCTGTAGTTCCAGCTACTTGGAAGGCTGAGATGGAAGGATCGCCGGAGGCCAGCAGGTCGAGGCTGCGGTGGCTGGGAGCGGCCACTGCACTCTAGTCTGAGCGACAGAGTGAGACACCAACTCAAAAAAAAAAAAAAAGAATTAAGAATGCTAAGGACAAAATAGCTGTGCTAGGATATGCTTATGCAGTAGGCACACATAAGTATAAACTTGCTGTGTAGGCAAAAACTTGCACCCTCAAATTTTCGGGGAATGAAAACTATTTTCAAGGAATGAATTTCTTGCTAGTCTATTATGCTAACAAAAAGGCAAGGATAGCCAGGGAAATCTTTTCCTACAGCAAGGCTGTAGTGAATCATGATTGTGCCACACTCTAGCAGCCTGGATAACAAAGTAAGACCCTAACACTCCTGATCCCCCGAAAAAGAATGGAATTGCTGGGTCCTAGGATATGATTAACCTTATGACAAACTCCCAGAAAGATACGCAAAGTATTTGTACCATTTCATACTCCCACTATCAGTGTATGAAAATTCTAATTGCTCCATATTCAAGTCAATATTGAGTATTGTCACTCTTTTGTTTTCCATTCTACTGAGATTGTAGTGTAGTAGCATCTCATTATGTTTTTGTTTTTTTTTTCACTTCTATCTGCATTTATTTCATGCTGAATTTATTCCCGTGCCATAAGTTCTTGTTTCTTCAGTTTCTTCTGGGATATCTTTTTCTTCTGTGCAACCTCCTCCTCTGGCTTAGGAACAATCCGCTCCTTTTCAGTGAGGATCATCTCAATGTGGCAGGGGGAGCTCATGTAAGGGTTGATCCGACCATGAGCCCGGTATGTCCGGCGGTACATCTTAGGGGCTTTGTTCACCTGGATATGCTCAATGACCAGAGAATCAACATCTAAGCCCTTAAGCTCAGCATTACTCTCTGCATTTTTAAGCATGTGCAGCAAAAATTCAGCACTCTTTTTGGGCCACCGACCCTGTGTCCAGCCCCACTGTTTGGCCTGGACACACCTTCCAACTCCACCATTGTAGCGGCAGAATGGCACACACTGTTTCTGTAAGGTGACATCTTTCAGGTACTTGGTGGCTTTTCGTATGTGCATGCCCTTGATGGCCTGCGCAGTTTCTCGGGTGTTCTTGAACGCGCAGGTCAGAGACTCGGGACTTGCACGACTTCGTGGGGTTCTTCGGGTCTAGCGAGTAGCGGACCATTTTGGCGAGTCAACTCAGGCCGCTTAGGGGAAGAGCTCATTATGTTTTTAATTTACATTTTCCTGATGGCTAAAGATACACTTTCCCATGTGCTTATTATTTGTATATCTTGTTTTGTGAAATGGTTCTTCAAATATTTTGCCCATTTTAAAAATTGGATTCTCTGTCTTTTAACTATTGAGTTGGAGGAGTTAGTTATATACTCTGGATACCAGTCCTATGCACACATATGTTCTGTAAATATTTTCTCCATGTCTGTGGCTTGTCTATTCATTTATTAACAGTGTCTTCTGATAAGCAAGAGGGGATTTTTTTTGGTGAACTCTATTTTCTCTTCTTTTTTATGGTTGTATCTTTTTAAAATTTGAATCTTAACTAAAGTTTTCTCCTAAGTCTGCTTCAAGAAGTTTTATAGTTTTAGCTTTTACATTTAGATCTATGATGTATTTTGAATTATGTTTTGTGTACGGTGTGAGGTGTGGGTCAAGGTTCACTTTTTGCACAAATATAGCCAGATGTTGCAGCACCAATTGTGGAAAGCCCTTTATTTACCCACTGAATTGCTTTAGTGCCTTACTTGAAGATGAATTAAGAGTATAAATATTTATCTATATTGGACTCTTTTTGTTCCAACTGATCTGTCTATTGCCATACCAATAACACATTGTCTTGATTAACATAGTTTCATGGTAAGTCTTGAAATCAGGTAATGTAAATACTCCAATATTGCTCTTTATATGGATTGTTTTGGCTATGCTCCTTTGCAATTGTATAAAAACTTTAGAATCATATTTTTAATTTCAACATAAAATTTTGCTGGGATTTTCACTGGGATTATGCTGAATTTAAGGATCAATTTGGGTAGAATTCACAGCTTAACAATATTAAGTGTTCAACTCCATGAACATGGTATATTCTTTATTTAGGTTTTCTCCCTCAACACTATAATTTTCAGGGTAGAGGGCTAGCTCATGTTATTCAATTTATAGTTGTGTATTTATATTTTTAATGCTATTTTAAATAGAGTTTTAATTTTTTTCCCTAACTTTTGTACTTTCTAATGATTTCTTACCAGTATATAAAAATATAACTGGTTTTGTATAGATTCTATACTCTTTGACCTTGCTAAAGTTACTTATTAGTTATAGTTTCCTTATTCAAAATTCCTCAGAATTTTTACATAGATAATAGTGTCACCTGCAAATAGAGACAATTTTACTTCTTATGAATCTCTGTGCCTTTTTCTTTTTTATCATCTTAATACACTAGACTTCAGTAAAATATTATAGAGGAGTAGTTAAAATGGAAATCCTTGTTCTATTCTTGATTTTACTGGGAAAATGGTCATTATTTTACTATTAAGTATATTGTTTGTAGGATTTTTTATATGCCTTTTATCAGGTTAAAAAGTTTTCTGTTATTCCAACTTGTTACTGAACGTTTCTATTAAAATTGGATCTTAGCCGGGCTCGGTGGCTCAGCCTGTAATCCCGCACCTTTGGGAGGCTGAGGTGAGTGGATTGCCTGAGCGCGCAGGTTCGAGACCCGCCTGGGCA